GAGCAATCCCAAACTTGATGGGTCCAGAATTCACCCCATAATCTGTCTCTTGTAATGACTGGAAGTGACCCTTCCAACTTGAACAACACATCGAAAGAAATTGGTGAAACCAAAGTTGCAGCCAATGCATCAAAAGTTTCCTCGAGGGTCACACCGACGTTGTTTTTCTTGGGATCTTTTTCAAAACTTTTTAATTAAGTTTATTTAGCTACAGGATACCATGATAACCTGCAATGTCTTGGTCCATTTCCGTTTGTTGATGAGGGATTGCATGGCATAGTGAAGCGAACTCTGCGTGGTCTTTCATCTGCAAACTTCGCTTTGGCTGCGTCATCTGCTGTTTCGTGTTGTCGATAGCTTCACTTTTGGGCTTTTGGATCATGGGAATTAAATGAATTTAAGCTTGCGAAGTTAAAATTGACCCCGTGTGAACATTGCGCACAAGATGAAAATCAAATCAACATAATCAACAGTTGCAAAATATACACTACAGTAGTAATATTACTGTCGCAATAATTGGCTTCAGGGTTGGCCTCAATGCTTTCAACTGTCGTATATGGTCAAGTCGGTACATAATGAAAGCACTGGACGTGGGACATCCGGAACGGCAGTTGCTGACAGCTGAGAGCTTCTTTGCGATCAATATGTTGTCTACCTTTCAAGTGGGACGGATGCTTTGAGAAACCTGAAATGATCAGGCATGTGACCAACTCTCCAATACACATGCTCACGTTCCGCCCGGAAGGTCTTGGACAGATATTGAAACCACCTCTGTCCCCTGGGTTGCTGAACCTCCCACCCATTTGTTCTTTCCTCAAAAGCATTTGTTCTTTCCTCAAAAGCACATTTTAGCCAGGTGGCGCAGTCTCACAGGCATTGATTGCAGTCGTGTAGGTGATCATGTCCAGTTGCACCTTACCTTTGCACATGGACGTTCTAAACAATCACAAGATCGCCGAGTTCTTCCAGCTTGCCTCTGTCTGCAGAGCTTTGTGACCTTATGGGTCATGCTCCTCTTTCGGTCCAAATGCTGCAAGCTTATATGATCAACACACATCTTCGCAAAGACATGGACTGCTTCTGTGCAAGCTTTGGGGACCTGGAGTGACACCGTGAAAGAAATCTACTGTAACTACTGAAATATAGCTATCAACATCTACAACAGAAGGTCTTCCTTTGATTCAGCACAACTGCATATCCCCATGCTCCTGACGTCTTGCCTACTTCACCGACACAACCAGGCTTCTTCAAAGCTGCAACCAAGCAGGTTGTGAGATGAACGCCACGCGCCAAATCTGCCCAACATCTTGCAAGTCTCAGTGATCAGAATTCGATCTAAACGCAAACCTTGGTCAGATGAGGTGACAAGGTATGCACGTGAATGTGTTCAGATGGATATAACTCTTGCCCTCATCCCCTATCACTGTTGTTTGGACAGCGTACATAAGTAGTACATCCGCGCGCACAGACGGTGGTGGATGTGCATGAACTGCTGCTAGCATCGCAAGAGCGAATAGCTTTAGCTAGGATTGTGTGGGGTGATTCTTGAGGAGTTAAGGAGATGCTCGGGTGTTACACAAGGTGATCATTGTTTCGGCAGGGCAAATACCTTGTTATCCCTCTTAACACTGGGTCAAAGGCCACACCTTTCAAGTCTCGAAAACATAACCTTTCATGTTATATACATATATCATATATGTATATAAATATACGTGTGTGCTCGCGTATGTTTGACGTTCTGTTGCGTGGTGATGGATGCTGCAAACACAAGACTCCATAGAGAGAGCGACCCACAACTGCACCATTAAACTTCACCACATTTGCACGTAGCCACATCACAGATCACAACACTCACCACTTTATTGTGCACTCGGACAATGACATCAGAATTCGATGAATGTGTTTTTCGTTATCCTGCAGCCTGCAGTACCATGTTTCAGATCCGTCAGTACTGGTATCCTTCGGTCGGTTTTCTGCTACGTGGTCCCATGTCGCACATCGTCCTAAGTCTGTCGCATCTCCAAAGAGTGTCACACAACAAACGATTCGTGCCTTGAGTCTGAACCTCCGCAAAGAGGAGTAGTGAAGAGGACCAAGCACCTGACGTCCGCTTGTGGTCCTAATCTTTGCAAAGTGCCCAGCTTGTCCTACTTCTGTGTCTTTCACTAGCATCGGAAAACACACTCGGATTTGTTAGCCCAGATCTTATGAGATAGTATGTTCAAGCGAGCAAAGCGTGATCCGCAGCCCTTGGGGAGGTTTCTTGAGACTCTGCCTTTTCGATCCGGATTGAGACTCTGCCCTACGCACCCTTTGGCCCAATCTGGCTCCTCCCACTCCCTTCGAGCCTTTCAAAGAATGCTTGATTGCCTTTGTGTAGTGGATAATCGTCCGTGGTTCCCGCATGCTTGGTGGCCGAGCTGTGCCTTGACGGAAAGTGGCGGTTGATATCACGAGCACTCACATGTTGTAAGTATGTTTGAAGCTCATTTAGAGGCGTCAATGTCAACCTCAATTTACTGTAACCTAGTCTAACTTGGCAACATTCAATTGTCACCATCTCCTGAGCGTTCATGAAATGATTCATGCATGGGACCAGATGGTGACTGGGCAAATCATTCGGACACGAGAACCAATTGTGTGACACCGTTTTCCTTCTCCGGAAGCAATCAGCAGAGTACAGGGATTTGCAAAGAGATTGCTTTCAACAAACTCATATTGTATCCAAGACCAGGGCACGGGGACAACTCCGAACTTCCGAACACCATCCTAGGCGACAACGGCATTCCCTGCCTCGCCCACACCTCTGGGCCAAGCAGCGTGTTCACTGGCGGCGATCAGCCCGAACAAACGAGTCCATGGCCAGGTACCAGTCGCACCTCCAAGTCGGAATTCTCGAGAGAAACACTGAGCGGGACGGAAAGTCTCAGTGAATGGATCACAAACAGATCCTGAGCTCTTCCAAATATGGAAAGGAATATCGGCCTAAAGGTCTGCCTGGTGCATCAGTGCATTTGCGGGCAGCTCTTGCTCCTCTTCAAGAAGCCGTTTCCCAAATGCCGTTGTGGCTTTGTCCAATTCTGGTGTGTTTCAGGTCCCCTCCGGTCCCCTCGACTCATTGGTTTCCTGGCGTGTTTAATTGCATTTATTGATGAAACAGTGCGTAGAAAGAAGAAATTGACTGACACTGGAGCATCACCAGCATTGCCTGCATTTTTGGAAGTGTGAGTTAAATGCAAGCTGTCCTTCATGGACCGGAGCTTTCACACAGCTTTTCACCACAAGCGTGAGCGATTCAAAACGCTGGTCTTGGGTCATCCCCTCAGCTTCTGGCAGGCTTGAAATGTTGGCAGGGATGGGCAAGGACATATCAGCATCTTCATATGCCTATCTAAACCCCTGACTTCTCGCAACCATCCTCATGGCCTCATGGTTCTTGGACACCTCGTCGATTCCCCTTCATATATGTACGCTTTCCGATCGTTTCTTTCGACAAGCCTGCTTTTTGATTCTCTTGCATGTTTCATTTCACCCTCTCCCCCACAACAGCATGCGTGCAAATGAAATCTTACGCGCTGGTAATGCGTCTGTCAGATTACAGTACAGTAAAACAATTGCTCCACCAACTGCTGTACTGCTGTTTGTGTGTAACCTTTGGAGTCACAGGGTGCCGGTTGGCATGTTTCCTTTGAGCACGGGGAAACCTTGTACCAGTTCTTCTGATCTGGCACAGTTTGGAACCACGTTCCATTCCTTTGGTCTGGTACTTGTAACTTTGGAACTCTTACCATTCCTTCTGGTCTGGTACAGTTTTGGAACCGTGTGTCATTCTGTCTGGTCTGGTACAATTTGAAAACACGTGCCGTTCCTTTTTCTGCAGGGGGGATTGCATCAGACTGCAAACCGTACCCAATGAAGCTATGCAGTCTCGCTGGAGGTGTGCAGGGACGCCTATACAAGTACCTGCTTTTGGAACCCATGTACCATTCTTTGGTCTGGTACAGCTTTGGAACCACTTGGTATTTCTTCTGACAATCAAAAGGCAAACTCGAAATTGGTTGCTTCGATTTCGATGGTGGTATGGATATCTGAACTTGGAGATACAGTTGCCAGACGTTGAGTGTGCTGCATGTTGCACACATGCACCACACGCATGTGGTACAGAAGTTGTCGGTTGGAAGCCGAACCAAACATTTGTTGAATTCAAAAGTGACAATTGACACCTTGAGCATGTACACCACCCATACCTGGTTTCTTAGGTTTTTTCACCTAGGTTTCCGTGTGGCATACGGCATTCAGACCGTACGAACTATATATATATAATTTCCCGAGTGTGTGTCAAGCAAAACAAGCACCAAACTGATGGAATACTTTTTAGCTTGTCTAAGTCTCTCGCCATGCCACCTCCTGCTTCATGCCCATCTCTCCAACGCACATCGTTGGACCGCCTGAGCAAAAGTGCATGGTGAACTGGATAAACTCTGAATCTTCAGTTGATCATTCATGCTCACCCCGCGGGGAACTTACTATGCTTCACCTGTGGGGCCTTCCGCATCCCAGGTCTTTCGACGTCTTGTAGCATCTACAGGAGCCCTGGCTCAAACAAGCAAACCCCCCTCACCAGGCCCCAGATTCTCGGTGTATGTCGTAGAAGAAGATGATCTTTTCAGGGCCATGACATCTACACTCGTTGATATTCCATGATTATTTCTGGGAGTGTAGTAGAAAATCCTGTTGAAACCAAAGAGGCTGCTAGGGTCTAATGAGTCTACTGTAAGAACTTGCCCACTGCTGGAGAATGTTCAAATGTTTGACGCTTCTTTCAAAGACTCCCCTGCCCTCTGCCCTCTGCAGCAAAATGGTGGTGCACTTGGAATGACATGCTACATCTTGAGTGTGAGCCACGTCAGGAAGACTACACCCGTGCACACCGCAGAGATGACATGTCACAGGTTGAATGTGAGCTTTGTCACAAAAATCTAACCGCGCCATAGACCAATCTAAGACAAGACGGCCATACACACTGCTCTGGCCTCACTCAGCAGGCAATCTGGGCTGCTTGGGCCACATTTGAATGTGGTCTCAAATTTGCACTCCCAGGTGTTCTGCTGAGTTGGGTAGGACTGCCGTAGGGAAAATGAATAGCCATCTAAGAAGTTGCAACCTCCTCCCACCAGCTGGTAGCTTTCCGGGCACTTGGCAGAAGCATTGGCACGACCTTGGACCTTAATGATCTTCACATCCTCGTTGCCTTGTGGTTCGAGGCAATATGCTGTGGCCGTTGCAACCTTGACAGGCTTGGCCGCCATCTCACCCACCCCTGAGCAGTAGAAGCTCCTCTCATCCACAGGAAAAGCCGTTTCGAAAGCCTCGTTGCCCTCCGCAGCCATGTTGCATGAGCCACCGATCACTCTGGCACCATCTGGGCAGGTTGCAGTGATGCCCTCAGGCTGTGAGAGAAGACCCTGCACTTTCTGGCGAACAATCGGCCGGTCAACCGCACAAATGATCTTACCAGCTGTGACCAAATCCGGCGGCGCCGGGAATTTGACGCTACATAAGAGCCTTGTATATCCATCAATGCGCTGGTCAATATACGGCGCAGGGGAGCAGCCATCAAGACACTCACAGCCGCCACCAATAATGAAAGGTTCTGGACATTTGAAAGCGTCCTTCACCAATATGCCCTCTGGAGGAACCACTGGTGAATCCGTGGAACTCTTGAATTCTTTCACCCTTTGCATCTCCTCTGTAGAAAGCAAACTATGCAGTTCAGGCGTGTCGAAGAGCACTCCACTGGGAATCGTCAGGCTCCTCCTCCTCCGGCTTCTTCTTCTCCTGTCAAACAGGTCCTGCTCAGATTCACCTGGAGTGTCAATCTCCTCCAACGCCAAGGGCTTCTTTCGTAGGCTGATGCCCATAGAAGTGTTGGAGACATTGGAAGAAAGGTAGACCTGACCTTTTTGGCAAGGGCAGGGGCAAGTTGGGCAATACCCGCTTGCACAACATTTCACGCAAATCCAAAGGGGGTTTGCAACAACAACTTGCTCCACGCAGCAAATCCCAAATGCCACGCACCACTCTACCACCTGTCGTGGTACCAGGTCAGGAGGAGGCCTCCAGCCTCTCCTTCGGCTATCATAGGGCTTTGGCGTGGTGGTCAAGGTTGTGGAGCTAGGCTTCGGAGGTCCCGGATCACGGAAGATGGGCCGGAACTCCAAGTAGAAGGAGGCTCGGAGCTCCTCAATCGGAGGGGCCTCGGGTGTCTCTCCTGGAATGGCCTTCAGCTTGGGCTTGAAGCGGATGCGCCATGCCAAGTCCTCTACCACGAGATCTTCTGGATCTAAAGACTTTGGCCAGCCTGCTTCGTCAAAGCCCTCGCTTTGGTAGAGCACCAACTGCCAGGGGAAGACATAAAACCCTCCAGAGCCAAGTGAAGGCCAGAAAGAATTGCAGCCAGTCGCGACGGGCAACGGCAAAATGATCTTGTTGGTTTCTTGCAGCCAAAGGGTCATGGGCAGCGTTGTCACACCTTAGAAGCAGCAGTGGGCAGACGATTAACAAGCAGAGGTAGTGTTGAAGGAGGTCTTTGTCACTCTTGTCTTCTGTTTCTAATTCTATTTCTCCTTGTCCACTTCTCGTGGTTTTGTTCCATTCGTTGTGTTTTCCGCCTACAAAGCCATGGCAACATCGCAGGTTCACCAACAAGTGTTGAGTCTTTGCCTCACAGTGCAGCTTTCAAAAGTGTGAACCTGTTCAACGCACCATGCGAGCATACCAACACGTCAGCATAGCACATGCACCAACATGCGCGAGCATGACAACGATGGAACAAACGAGAAACAGGGAACTTGCTCCGCGGCCTGGAACTTGCTCCACAACTTGCTCTGGAATTTCCTCGGGCAGAAAGACTGTCTGCGCATGTGTTTGCAGCGACTGCGCAGTTTGTGCCACCTGCGCCGTTCGCGCCGCTTGCGCCGCCTGCCGCACCTCCGACAGCCTTCGACATCTGACTTCCGGCACATCACGCATACAGTGAGTGCTATTGTGGAGCTCTGTGGGCGTAAACGGTGGGCGATGCACGTGTCTGCATATTGGGTTCGCGCAAGAAACTCATATCCGGTGCCAATTTAATTTTGCCTGGAATCCGGACATTCCGCGAAAATGGAGTTTTCGATCATCCGACAAAACAACTGACACGTTGGAAAACGCAAAAAATCCCAAATGAGCCAGAGAGGATCGCAGGATCTGAGTTCATTGTCATTATTGGGGCTTAGCGGGTGGAGTGGATGGAGCAGGTGGAGCGGATGGAGCGGGGAGCGGATGGAGCGGAAGACGCTGATCCCTCTCGCAATGAAAACTTGCTCTGGAACCTGCTCCCGGACCTGCTGCGATCTGCTCCGAAGTCTTCACTATGGCTCAAGACCCAGAAGCTGAAGCTTCGATGTTGGGGATTAAAGAAAACAGTATTGTTTGCAGTGATTGGTAATGATATACATATATATAATATAAGTGCATAAGTCCAAGACCCACATCCACAGAGAGGGCTGTGTAGTTGTTGATCTGAAAACTCTTCGACATAAAGGTGTAGTCAACGGCGATGTACCGCTGATTCTGAGGTCCCTTTTCCCAACTCGCCATGAGATCACCCCAAAGCACACCAGCAGATGGACTCAGCACAAAAACAAAGTCGCCTCCGTTCAGCTTGAAAGAATCCTGCTGCTGATTGCACTGCATGGCCTCTGCATACTCTTTGGTTGACAAAGCTTTCTCCCTCTTCAGCATTTGCATGAAAACAGTCTCGGTGGCCTCAGTCTCATTCAAGCACCATCTCTCATCCCAATAGTCTCCCAAGCTGATTGCCAGCTGAAGGAATAGCGGGAAAAACTTCATCAGCGATGGGCCAGGTGCCGTTAGAGTTTCTACCGGAAAGAAGCTTGAGTCTTGGACAAATCCTGCAGAAAAAATTACACCACCGTAGGCCCCAAACAGGTAGGGCAACAACGAAGCATTCCCAAGTCCACTTTTGAGACATCAACAAGAAGGGAGACAAGAAGGGAGACAAAAGGAAACAGAAGGAAGACAAGACGGACACAATGGCCAACAAGAAGGGAGACAAGAAGGGAGACAAAAGGAAACAGAAGGAAGACAAGACGGACACAATGGCCAACAAGAAGGGAGACAAGAAGGGAGACAAAAGGAAACAGAAGGGAGACAAGACGGACACAATGACAAACAAGAAGGAAACAAAAGGAAGACAGAATTGAGACAAGGCGGACACAATGACCAACAAGAAGGGAGACAAGAAGAAAGACAAGAAAGCGTACAAAAGGTCTGTCCATGTAGCGCTTCTATTGATTTGTCTCTCACTGGTGGTGTCCGCCCTTTTCCGCTGGCCATGTAGCATTTCTATTGTCTCCCAAATCTGTCGCTCCTGGCGTCCGCCCTGTTCCGCTGGCCATGTAGCATTTCTATTCATTTGTCTCCCAGGTCTGTGAGTGCTGGTGTCCGCCCTTTTCCGCTGGCCATGTAGAATTTCTATTCATTTGTCTCCCAGGTCTGTTGCTGCTGCTGTCCGCCCTTTTCCGTTGCCAATGTAGCATGTCTATTCATTTGTCTCCCAGGTCTGCCACTGCTGGTGTCCGCCCTTTTCCGCTGGTGATGCAACATTTCTGTTCATTCCGCAGACAGTTTACAGTTAGGGGTTCTCAGTTCTTTCTTAAGATGTGTCCGCCCTTTGTGTCACTGCTGGTGTCCCCCCTTGTCCGCTGGTCATGCAGCATTTCAATTCATCTCCCAGGTTCGGCGCCTGCTGCTGGTGTCTGCCCTTTCCCGCTGGCCATGCAGCATTTCTATTCATTTGTCTCCCAGGTGGTTTCTGTACTTCGCCAAACAGGTTACTGTTAGGGGTTCTCAATGCTTTCTAAGAGTGTCCGCCTTGCTCCGGGACAGCGTGTCCGCCTTCCGTCCGGCTTGTCTCCCTTTGTCTCCCTTCTTATTGGTCACTGTGTCCGCCTTGTCTCCCTTCTGTTTCCCTTTGTCTCCCTTCTTGTTTCCCTTCTTGTTGGTCATTGTCTCCCTTCTGTTTCCTTTTGTCGGTCATTGTGGCCGCCTTGTCTCCCTTCTGTCTCCCCTTGTCTCCGGAAATGAATCGAAACGCTACATGGACAGGCCTGGGAGACGAATAGAAACGCTGCATAGTTAACGGAAAAGGGCGGACACCAGCAGCGACAAACCTGGGAGACAAATGAATAGAAATACCACGAAATACCACATGGCCGGCGGATTGGGCGGACACCAGCAGCAACAGACCTGGGAGGCAAGCGAATAGAAATGCTACATGCCCAACAGAAAAGGGCGGACACCAGCAGCGACAGACCTGGGAGACAAATGAATAGAATGCTACAGTGACAGACCTGGGAGACAAATGAATAGAAGCGCTACATGGCCAGCGGAAAAGGGCGGCGGAAAAGGTACATGGCCAGCGGAAAGGGGCGGACACCAGCAGGAGACAAATGAATAGAAACGCCACATGGCCAGCGGTTACTGTTAGGGGTTCTCAATTCTTTCTTAAGATGTGTCCGCCCTTTGTATCATTGCTGGTGTCCCCCCTTGTCCGCTGGTCATGCAGCATTTCAATTCATCTCCCCGGTTCGGCGCCTGCTGCTGGTGTCTGCCCTTTTCGGCTGGCCACGCAGCATTTCCATTCATTTGTCTTCTAGTCGATTTGTGTACTTCGCCAAACAGGTTACTGTTAGGAGTTCTCAAGGCTTTCTAAGAGTGTCCGCCTTGCTGCGGGACAGCGTGTCCGCCTTCCGTCCGGCTTGTCTCCCTTTCTCTCCCTTCTTGTTGGTCACTGTGTCCGCCTTGTCTCCCTTCTGTTTCCCTTCTTGTCTCCCTTCTTGTTGGTCATTGTGTAATAGAAATGCTACATGGCCAGCGGAAAAGGCCAGCAGTGACACAAAGGGCGGACACATCTGAAGAAAGGTTTGAGAACCCCTAACGGTAAACTGTTTGGGGAATAAAACAACAACAAAAAGAAGCACATGTAACCCGAGATCCTTCACAGCCTTCATTGGGTCTCTTCTGCGGTTCTTTGCGAAGATCCGAAGACCCAACAGCTACTGAAATTGAATCCGCACCCGTGTAGCTGAGGCGCCACACGTGTGACAGCCATCTGCCACGCCTGCAACGCAGCAAAGGTGCTTGGAAATTTCTGCACGCTACTGGGTACCGTATAAGCTCCTCAAATTCGCAGAAGGGGCTTCAAAGGCGGTATATATCGCCATCTTTGTTTGACTGTCACTTTGTGCGTTTGGATGCAGTGACAACCTGACACACGCGCGATGTGTCCTGTCTGCCGGAACGCTTGTCTTCACAATGTAGTTTCTGAGTTGCCAAAGAGCTCCTGCTTTGACTACTAGATACAGCTCAAATTTAGCAGGCAAGCCTTGACACCACAAGCAAAAATGCTTCAGAGTCCGCAAAACAAAAAGCATGAACGCATGTGTGGTGTTTGATCTGAGTTCTTGTTCATGGAACGGTCACGGTCGTTCTTCGCCAAAAAAACATTCGGATACATTAGGGAATCTCTGGCTCACTGCATTACTTCTTTTAACTCCAGCGCGGGGGGTTACATATCCATAGAATATAAAAGACGTCTTCTTGATCTGGTCCTTACAGTATACCTCCATAAGTACTCAAAACCATTCCGAGCAAGGCACGGCAACCCCCTTCTCAAGAACAGGGGCTGCCTGGTCTTCAATTGGAACAGAATCTTTTGGAAGCTCAACCAAGTGTGTATCGTCAAAGAT